AGTCATTGTGTATAATTTGTTCCTTCCACTGATCAAGTTGCTGACCTCCTCACAAAAGTCTTCACAAAATTCGTCATCTCCAGCTCTCTGAAAAACTCGTCCGTCGAGGTCCGCCGTCCAATTTCAGGGGAATATCACATAATCAACTCATGGCCATTAGGCCCTTCTTCCATTATAGGAATCCTCTGCACTGTTGGAATCCTCCTTCCTTATTTATACATGTGCTAATATTGATTTGCCTTCCTTGTATTGTTGATTCAGTTTCCTTGTACATCTCTACTAGGCTTTTCAACTCTGTATAAATCTCTTATGTATCACACTTATCAAATCAATCCAAAATACAAAATTTACACCCTCTCTCTCTCTCTCTCCCTCTCCCAATTATCTTATGCGCCGCAGCCCACTAACCCTCCGCTACACCCTAATCTCTCCACTGTTAGATCGATCTCAACCTTTATAACAAAGAGGACAAGGATGTGAATTTCAAACCATCACCTAAACCCAAAACCCAGTAAGAGGAAGGAGAAGAAATTTGAGCTCTTTGAAGAAGCAAATGAAAAAATCAATTTTTAATTCAACAGTGAAGCATGTGCGTAACATGTGATTTTTTAAACATAGATTTGGATGAAAATTGCCAAAAACTAATGGTTGGGAGTAAATTGGCAAGAAAATTTAGTATGAGGGCTAAACTGGAAGGAAAAAAGTTCATGGTGGAGATTTCTACAAGCGTGTGATCGGTTCATAATTACATATCATTTTACACCCTTCTAACTAATGATTTGGTTATGTTTTTTAGTTAAACTTGTGATTTTAATTTGTTTTATGTTTGTTTCAGTGTATCAAGTTTTGGAACTCATTTAATGCATTGTGAAGTCAAGTTAGCTCAAAACTGTGTCTGCAAATCAGTCAACTTCACGGATTGGATTGTACTTGCTCAGGAAGAACCAGATAATGAGTCATATGTCATTGGAAAGATGTGGAAGTCTAGTTTCGGGAGCATTTTACGGTTCATGAACATATAAAGGTGTGAGTAGCGGCGCTCCAACTCCTGACCACATCGCAAAGCATCTTTGCTTCAATATGAATGTCCCACAGCTTGGAAAAGAAAATGGCATCAAGAACTTGTGCTCTGAGCAAAATATTGCAACTAGATGGATCCAGCAACTCACGGTCAACCCACTCTGACCAACCCTTACTGATGCTGCAAGGATATTGAAAGAATAGGGGGATAGCCGGAAACAGGCCTTTCTCAATGCAGCACCTGGATATGGAGGCAGGTTCAATTATGGGAGTAGTTTCAGGCGGTGGATCATCACCGACAATTGGATTCTCACTAGCTTATTCGAGCAGCAAAAGGGGCCCTCCTGCTTTAAGGTTGTCATCCATGGAATAAAGATGATCCATCATGATTGGCGGAAGATCACTAGACACCATGGTAGAGCCAACTGAGTCACAGATATCTGCAAAAAGAGGGGGAAGAAACAAAATGCATAAGTTCCGGCACCTTCATGACTGCTGACCTAAAGGATTCAGAATCTCATTATAGCAAAAGGAAGGGATAAATAAATACAAAAACGCACGCATGCGCGCATTATATGCTTTTCTATTTGCCCTCATACAAAGATATCAAGACCGTGCCTACAAGAGGATCAAATCAATGCCTCAGTACAATTTCATTCGACAAGAGGAAGAGGATATTTGATGCAAGTACGAAGGAAAACCCAAACTACAGGAGTTAATCATTTAAAGGGATCATGGATTGACTATCCAACATAGTGCATGCTTATGGTTTTTCTGCCTTGCTTTGACACCATCTAGAGGTTTTGTGTTCAACCAGGGCAAATTGTCACTTGGAGGGTGCTTAAAATCCCTAATCGGTGGTTCATATCCGAAACTCAAGCTTGGGTATAAAAATTAAACGAACATGCAGCAAAAAGGATTGAGACAAACACTCTTTTCATGAAGGATTCTCAAAATTTATATGCGTGAATGCCCTCATATGCATATCTATGTATATGTGTAGATGTATGCATATGCATAAATGTATATGTATGCGGTGACGGGATGAAGAAATAGGAGAGGAAATAAAGGAATGATGCTTACCACTGCCCTCGATTTTGTTTTTTCCAGCAGCTTGCCAAAATTGAGAAAAAAGGGAACTGCCTTGCAATTTTCTCTCCGAGTTGCTCCACGCTCTGCGAGGTGACCTTGCGAAGCCTGGCCTTTGATGAATTGAAGGAGAAATTTGGGGTTTTTAAAAGGAAAACGATAGCCCCTCCCAGTGGTTGCAAACGGTTTCTCTGTGCTTAACCAACTAGCGGTTATGGATGGTGCCTCTCAGCGATTTCTTATTTCAAAGGTTCTCTAAGCCTGGGTGTGATGAAGAACCAGCAAAATCGAAAGAAGAAAGCAAGAGGTCTTGGTTGCGCACGTATGGAAGGGAGAAATCAAGGACGAATAAGAGAAAGAAAGAAAATAAAATAAAAGATGAATAAAATAAAATAGACTTTGATGGAAGCGCTTACCTGGGGAACGTAAAAGATTGTTGGAAGGTAATCATGGCAGCACACACGCAGGAAACGAGAAGGTCATGTCACCAATGTGGATTTGATTTCTCTTTTGGGCTAGGTTTGATTATTTGGCCCATCTCAATATCTACTCATGGCCCCAATAATCAAGGGGTCTAATGTTAAGGCCCAAAAAAAATCCAAGGGCTAGGCCTAGGTTTATTCTTAGCCCAGTACAAATAATTGATCGCAAAAGGAGCCCAATTGGGACATAAGAGAAATTGTAGGATGCACCTACATAAGCCATGGCCCATGCGGCCAAGCAAGCATGCGCAAAATGACCAAAAAATGCACCGGCTTTATAAATTCACACTCACCAACCTATCCGACGCTACTTGGCCTGATCGTAGCTTATTGCGCACAATAAAACTCAAGCACAAGCATGTTAAATAAACACGCGATGCCATGTAAATGACCGCTATTATAATATCAAGCCGTGCTACAAGCTTAAGTGGACCCAAGCCGCATAATTACTCGGGGCTTGCTGAGAAGGTTGTGGTATGGACGGGAACAAGCAATCACAGGGTCTATTGAGGGTTCGGGGAATGAAAGTTTTAAGTCACTTGGGGGGACTAAAACTCAAGCCCGTTCCTCGGGCCCAAACACATGGGTTAGCATAAAAGAGGGAGAAAAGTGATCCAATGCTTTAGGAGGACATCTAGTAGTCTACTATAACACTAGGACAAACCCACATCAGTAAAATGCCCAAAATAAATAGGCTATTTCCAGCAACTTGACGAAAACCCATTAGACGCTGGAAATTATACGCCAATAACCCAATGCTGCATACAAAGCCTAGCCCAGTGCCTTGTAAAAATCTAGCATCGTGCTCCACCCTTATCAGAACTCCAAGATGGTCAACAAGGAGTCATGGCAAGGACTAAAGGAAACCCATATATGTAGGAGGAATACCCATTGGACAAATGACTCTGCCCATTTTCTTTTCCTCTGTAAGTTCCATTTTGAAAACCAAGAAGGAAAGCAGGTGGCACCTCACCCCCATGGGGAGGTCCAGCCACACAAAACCTTTGGAACCCCAAAAGGCTCCTTACCCATGCACCTTGGATAGGAAAATTTCACCGAATAGGATTAAATGGAAAGAAGTAAAGAAAAAAGAAGAAGGAGGTCAGACAAAATTAGAGGTTCTAAGTGCCTATAAAAGGGAAGTTTCCTCTACTCAGAAAATCCATCATCCAAAGCGTGACCAAGCTTTGTCAAGCAACTGGGATTTACTTAAGGCATCCAATCTTCTTCTTATGTTGTTTTCCTCTTTCCCTGAGATAGAAATGTTCCTAATTTTCCTTTGCCCCATTTTAAACCTTCATTCTCTGTAAGAAACTCATGCTTTTCTCTCTCTCAAATTGCTAAACTTGTGAAAACTTAACTCCCATGTCACAAGCTCCTCAAGTCAAGTCACTCATCAATTCGTTATGTTCATTTGGCTATTGGTGAAAATAACCTAAAAGTGTTTTTTAAAGTTTCATCAAACTCTTCAAAAACTCTTTTGGAGCTTGGTTCTTGAACTCAGGCACTGGGAAAATTTTGTTCATTTTCTTCTTACAGCAGCCCAAGCCCATTCGTCAGGTTGTTGGAACAAAAAGACCCCTACAAGTTTAAATTTATAATTATAATGGTTTGGTTTAATTTGTTAATTGCAATGCAAGTTAATGGTGATAAGGGATTGCACCTGTTTAAGCAAGAAAATCTAACAATGTTGTGAGTGACAACTTTGACTGTAAGGGGATTATTGAAGTTAGAGTTGGAAAGGGCCATAAAGACTTAAAATTTTGACTCATAAAGAAAAATAAAAACTGAAAAAAATTCAGTTGAGAAAAATAAATGTGGGAAAAAAAAATACTTTAGAGAGATTAACAATAGTTGCCAGCATAATAAAAGTTAAAACAAAACTGACAATTAAAAGAAAAAGGACACATATCAAAGAGACAAAAAGAAGAGGGAGGAGAAAAGATATATAAATAAAAAATAAAAATAAATAAAAGAGAGAGAAAAAGTGTCCTAAGTGGAGTTAGCTTCAGACGTCTAAGTGAAATTCTGCGTTTCTATTGGTCAATTCATAATGTGGTCGGACAAAAGAAAATGTTAATTAAAAAAGACCCTGCCAGTATCAAACACAGGCAGAAACGAACCTTTAGTAACTGGTGGCAGTAGCCAGTAGGGGCCAATCCCAATTAAAAACATCTCTCATTTAAAAAAAAAAAAAAAAAAAAAAAAAAAAAAAAAAAAAAAATGAGAGTGCGTATACATATATATATGGCGCAGATATTCGAGCAAATGGTAAATCACATAATCCTCGCCACCCTTCGCAGACCCCCATTGCTTTAACAACTGGTTCTTCACTCAATTGGGTATACTAAATAAAACAGAAATTGCAAAGCCTCTCCTAAGTAAGCCCTTTGTCAGATCCATCTAAGAATGGCCATCTCTGCCGGTGCAGCTGTTGTGGAAGTTCTTGATAGCAGTAACTATATGTGGATTGGAGTGTATTGGTTAAAAATTACTTGTTGGCTCAAGACCTTTGGGATGTAGTGGAAGAAGAAGAAGAAGAAGAAGAAGTTGATGATGATAAGTTCAAGGCTTGGAGGAAGAAGAATGCCACGGCTTTACATGCAATCCAAACTTCGTGCGGGCGGGAAGCTTTTTCCCTCATTAGAAACACCACTTCAGCCAAACGCGCTTGGGATACTTTGGCAGAAAATTTCAAGCCAAAACCAGGTAAGTCCCCAGTTCAAATCTTGAACCTCAACAAATCTGTGAGAAGTAAATATTCGACCTAAACCAGAAATATATAAATATATATACACATATTATATATGGATTCGGTTTTCTCTCTTTCAAAACCTTTGGCGGTACTAATCGTCACCTCACTCTTTCTTCTTTTTTTCAGTATGCGGTATGCCGCTCCACAAACAAGGAGCATCCAGCCTAGATTTATATGTCTTGATGGATTTCCTTATATATAACCAAATTATACTCTAAACATTTAATTGATTAACCACAAGACCACTATTTTTGTTTCTTATACTAGTCAGTTTACGTTTTGGTCTCCCTAGACTTACTGTATCCGAAAAAAAATATACATCATTATACAAATTACATGTGTAACAATGTGGAACTTAAATCTAACAGTGTCAATTTACCCCTTTGACTTTATTTATTTATTTATTTTAAAATAGCTAATTTCCTCATAAATCACTAAAGTACCCAATTTATACCTCATGCTCATATTCCGAGCAATTCCATTCAAGACTTAATTGGAAAACATATAAACCTGTTTTCCAAATTAGAAAAGCTTTGTATCAACTTTATTCAGCCTACTAAAACAAGGATGATATGATTTTAGTTTAGAGTTGTTATTTTGATATAACAATGGTAAACAGAGAAGCATTAATGTCCAAACATATATATATATTTACTCGACAGATGCTGCAATTGCTGCCAAGCATGATCCGTATCAACCTTTCTTCGCTGCTGTTAAGCTCGGTGATTGGCGTAAAGCGAAGGAATTTCTTACCTGAGATCCCAATGCAATAAGAGCAAGATATTCAACAGGAGGGACAGCTCTTCACATTGCAACCAAGTTCGGACATGAGCATATTGTGGAAGAGTTGGTTCAGTTGATGACACCGGACGACTTGGAAATTGTGGAAGCTGGTAGTTGGACAGCTCTTCATCTTGCTGCAAGATTAAATCTCAAAATTGTTGAATGCATGGTTAGAAAGAACAAGAAACTACTTGGCTTTGTTGAAAAGTCCAGCCGTAAGATGGCAATTCTCTTCGCTGCTCAGCTTGACTTATGGGATATCGTTCGTTATCTCTACTCCCTCACTCCGATCCAACACTTAATGCCAGAGAATGGCCCTTATGGCGCAGGACTTGTTTGCCTTTGTTTATATGCCAAACAATTTGGTAAAACTCTCAACCAACCCACATTATTTATTTATTTATTTATTTTTTTATACAAGCAATATTGGGTTAATTAGGGGGATTTGAATACGCGATATCGGATAACTCTTCTTAAACACTTGAGCTACAAGCCCCTTGCATCATTTACTCATTTATTACTCAAGCTTTTAACTCTCACAGTTCCTATTTTCTCTAATATAGATATTGCATGGGAATTACTTCAGCGTTGCCCACGATTGGTAATTGCTAAAAGTCCGTGGGGACATCCCCCTATATCTGTATTGGCTGATATCCCCTTTGCATTTCCGAGTGGGACGAGGCTCAAATTCTGGGAAAAGTGGATCTATGATGGTTAGTAATACGGATTTGGATCCTTTGCTTTAATTTTCTCTGCTATAATCTGCTTGACTTTTTTCTCTGCATGCCATCTCATTAAAATTTAATCCAAGGGACTTAAAAGTTGTCACATCATCCTAAAAATTAAAAACTCATTTACTCCTAATTTAAATAAAAAATATCCCTAATCCAACTAACGGGAAAGTTAGCGTTCCTCAGTCTTTTAATCTTCTCCTTCTTCCTGCATCACATTTTGTCTTTCTTCTCTTTTTTTTCCCCTTTCTTTCCCCAAAAATCTTACCTCTCGCTGAGATTTCTTTTCCCCAATACCTCTGTAATCATAATCCCTCTTCTCTTTCCCATATCAAAAGAAAAAATATATATTATTCCATATTCATTGTTTGATGACGGTGGTTGCAGACATAGGAAGAAAGAAAAAAAAAGATTGATGATAAGAAGCAGTGATTAAATAAGAATACGAAAGTGGTAGATGAATTTGTTTATAAATTAATCAAAAGCAAGATTGAAATTTCCCTATCAAATGAACCAAAAAAAAAACTTCCCTTTCCATATCCATTGCTTGATGAGGGTGGTTGCAGACATAGGAAGCAAAAGAGAACATGATGAAGGAAGAAGAAGAACCAAAAAACAAAAAAAGGACTCAAACGATTCTTATTATGTTCATACTCTTCTTGGTAATAATGTTTTTGTGTTCTAAGATTGGAGACAGAAAAGAATGATGAGCAATAAGATGTGGGGGTGGGGGGAGATGTGCAGCGAAGGAAGAAGAAGAGAAAAAAAAACAAACTGCTACAGCCATTAAGTTTTGGCGTTCGTCAAGTTAGGGTTTTTTTTTCATTTTTAATAAGGAGTAAATTGAATTTTAATTTTAAGGAAGATGTGTCCAATTTAAATCCATTAGATTAAATTTTAATGAGGTGTCAGGTGAAGAACAAAAATCAAGTAGATCATGGTAGAGAAAATCAGAGCAGATGATTCGGATCCTAGTAAATTCATTATATCCCATATATATTTTGCTAACAGTTCACCTACGCCATTAATATATTTTGCTGACAGTTCATCTACACCATTAATAAAGATTTCAATCATTCGATCACATTACACGGAGGGCCCTACCATAATGATCCATTTATTTGTTTAACATCTATTATCACAAAAGATAAATAGTTATTGAAATTGATCTTACATGTCCAAAAAAAATATTTATTTATTATATTGACTGAGCTTTGTTCTCTTTTCTTTATAGGTATACACATACAACATCTTCCTGCCATCCCTGATTTTCATGTAAATGTTGAAAATCTAGAAGAGAAACTGGGCAACCAAAATATCAGTTTCTCAGGTTTGCTAGATCTTGAAACCTTAGCTATATGTATTTTTTGTTTTTTTGTTTTCAAACTGTTTTCAATGATATATACATCTATTTGATAAGAAGTTGATCATGACATGGTATGCTCATAAACAATAACTAAAATCTTAATAAGAATCTGTGAATCATATAGCAAAGCACATTCATACTTTGTATAAACAAGACATATTTATCTTATGGTGATTTTGAATTTGCATTGCAGTCTTCGGTTTCACGCAAGGGCTTTCATCAAGCCTCCGCAAGCTTTTAGGTATATATGCAACATTCTTTTCCATCTTTCTTTGTTGGTGTCTTTGCACATTGGTTTTCTAATCCACTTATTTTAACTCTATCAACGTATTTTATTTCTACAAAAAATGAAATTGGTCCATGCTCAAGCCCTAGATACTTTGGATTACATGTGTGAAGTGGTAAAACATCTAGACACTCAAGACATTGATGATGTGGTCTATCCAGCAGTATGCCAAGCTGTACAAACTGGGATTATTGAGTTCATTATTCGTTTAGGTAAAGTAGATCCGGATATATTGTGGCAACCCAATTCAATGGGAAGGAACATATTTCAATATTCAGTTGAGCGTCGCCAGGAAAAAGTATATAGCCTCATATATGGGGTTGGTCAAAGAAATCTTATTGCAACATTTGCAGATGCTTCTGGAAATGATATGCTACACCTTGCAGTGATGCTATCTCCAACAGAAAAACTTGATCGTATTTCAGGTGCAGCCTTGCAAATGCAGAGGGAAAGGCAATGGTTCAAGGTTAGATATCTTCATTCTATATCTTTCTTGTAAATTAATTGTATTTAGAGCTAGTTGTGTTGTGGGATATTAGGTGCTGGAGTGGTAGCTTGTAAATGTGGTTGTGGGTTGATATGTTGTCGATGAAACTAGTGGCAGTATTAGGTTGGTAGGGCTTTCTAGTGTAGTTGACGTGCCATATGGAAAGTGAGGTGGGAACACTAGATGAGAGGATGGGAAGGTTTTGCGGTCTGGTTGAATGATTTTGGGAAGGAGGCAGTTCGGACTCATGAAAACGTTTTTCTCTGCAACGATCTAATTGTTTTTATTCTAAACATGTCTTATAAAATTCATCCAAAGGTTAAAAAATGTGACACCACGCCCACATATTTGATATGCCAAGAAATACTGTAAGGCATATTTGATAAGGATAAAATGTTCTTTTGTTTCAAGTTGGGAAACGTAGGTTAAAATTCTAGGTAATATGAAGTAAGTTGCAGGCCCAACCCTTTTTCACGTTTATTATATTAACAGGCGAACAAGAGAAAATTTAAGAGCTCATTTAAAACCCTAAGGATGAGAAAAAAAGAAAACCCATGTTTTCGCCCTCTTGTGGGTCAGTGGCCTCCCTCCTTCCCTCCCCTTCCTCCACTCCCCCTCCCAGTTCTTCCACTCAGCTCTCCAGTTTTTGCATTTTTTGTTTTGTCGTGTGGAATCAGTTGTTGTCGTGACAGCTGTTGTCTTTTGGCCATGTACCCACAAGGATTTGGCTCCAGTTCTCAGCGTTTGACATGGGGTTGGAGCCATAAGGCGGGGATGTTGCTGGGCTGCGTAGGGTTCAGGTTTAGCCGGTATGGTGCTATGGCTCTCTTTAATATGTCAGGGAGGATACAGTCAAGTGGCTCTAATTTTTAGTTTGTTTATGTCTAATAATTTTACATAAATTTGACTTGCCTCATAGAAAAATAGTTAGTAAACAAGTAAACAACAGCAAAATCCTGACAAGTTTTATTACGTTGTGGTCAACAACGCTCCTTGTCGTATTTCTTCCATGTATTATGTTGCCTTCCATAAAAGCAGTGACTCTAGAGTTAGTTACCTGGCCACAACGAACTTGAGGTTTATATGTTTAATGAAATGCAGGAGGTGGAAAGTTTTGTAGTTTTACCCTCGGGAGTGGGAGCTTCCAATAAACAGGGTATGAGACCCCATGAACTATTTACCCAGAACCATAATAAATTGAAGGAAGAAGGAGAAAAGTGGATGAAAGATACAGCAACTTCTTGTACAATTGTAGGTGCTCTCACTATTACCATCATGTTTGCTGCAGCCTTCACAGTTCCTGGTGGAAACAATGGAGGAACAGGCTTTCCCTTGTTCTTAGATGAAAAGATGTTTGTGGTGTTTATAGTTTCAGATGCTATATCACTCTTTTCTTCCACAAATTCAGTGTTGATGTTTTTGGGAATCCTTACATCACGATATGCAGAAGACGATTTCCTAACATCCTTACCCACAAAGATGATAATCGGCCTTTCAACACTCTTGATCTCCATCGCTTCCATGATGGTTGCCTTTTGTTCTGCTCTTTTCCTTATGCTTTATGAAAGACTATGGATTGTCATTCCAATCATTTTCCTCGCCAGCGTTCCAGTCACCTTATTTATTTGGATGCAATGTCCCCTTCTTGTTGAAATTTTCATTTCTACATATGGAGGAGGGATATTTGACAAGAAAGTGAGACGGTGGATATAAATTCTTGATGGTATATATATATGAAAAATTGTATAACTTTGTATGTATTGTTCTTCAATTTGGAAGATATTGTTGAATGGGAGAGCCTTTACATCTCTCCCCTCTCTTTCACCCGTCCCTTCTAATGTGATTTTTGAGTGATTGAGTTGTTGGTGTTGCTACGTACCCTCCGTTTGGATGAAGGAATTGAAAATTACTTAGAATTCTTAAATTACATAGAATTCTTATACAGAGATGTAGTTTTAGGGTATAAAGGCCTAGTGTGGTATAGTTGTTAGATTTGATTTTGTAACCTTTGTTCTGGCAGCCCCTTACTTACCACAGAGATAGTGCATCTCAGATCAATAGGCATGATATGTCCCCTAAAATATTAATAAATTGTTAAATATCTAATTGCATGAATAAATAAATCAAATAAAAAGCTCATCTGTTCAATATTGTGACACACACTTCATTCATGATTAGTTATTAAGAAAAATTGGCATTCGAATATACATTAATTTTCTCATGGTGAACCTCTTCAATGGATTGCGAATGCATTTTGTTAAGCGTTGATGCCCATTAAGGTTTTCTAGTATCACTTTCTTTCTTATTCAAGCTAGGTTCGCTTAAAATCATATTGTTTGAAGTTAATTACTACTTCTCATGCAAAGAAAACATTGATCAATTCTCATGCAATCCAACCCTATCTTTAGTCTCTTTCATATCAAATGATATATTGGGCGGTTCTCATGCAATCCAACCTTCAAGGAGCAAAGTTTAAACTACACTATAAATCACAAATACAATTGATGAAGAGAAGGTTTTATAGCGGCATAAACTTCATGCCAACCATTCTGCGAAGTGTGTACTGTATCCCAAAAGAAAGAAACATCAGGGTTATTGCATACAATGTACTTCTTTGCACCAGTCTGATCTACACTCCCGCATGAGTATTCATTGCTCACCCCAACACAACATGGCTTTAGTGTGTTAATGTGGAATGTCGAATATCCTGCTATTAAAGAAAGAATATGATCAAATATAGAGTAGGACCACATTTATTGACCACCACCTTATAAACGTATTTAAGAAGGACCCACATGGATGGTACCTACTTTTATTAGAAAGGCAATGAGCATGTAACACCCCGACTCCAAATTTAATCCCCTATTTAACTTATTTAAGTGAAATTATGAATTTACCCTTGGGGTAGGGGTAATTTGGTTATTTTCTTATCTGGAAGGATTTTGGGACAACAAGTGGTATGGTTACGTAGGTCGTACTGAGATGAGTCCGTAGACACGTAGTGGGCTCAAATCGAAGTCGTAACAAAGAAGTTACGAGCAAAGCATCACCAGTGGCAAAACCGTAAATATTTCAAAGTGGGTTTTGATAAAAGTCAAAAAAGCCCTCAGCTCTATCTCTCTCCTCCGTGCAATCCCTCTCTCTCTTCTCTCTCTCTCGCGACGACCACCACAACTGGCCACGTTTTGGCCGGCCGTTCGCTCATCCGGCCACCAAAGTTGACGGGGCCGGTACCAAAATGACCGGACCACCGTCCTCTTCCAACCCCAGTCAGGCCCTGCCTCCAGCCGCCGTGATTTCGCCGTAAAAAGCTGTGAAATGGCTGATTTTTCGCTCGATTTTCGTCGGCTTCATTCTCCGTCGTCCAGCTGCCATTTTTTACGATCCATGTATGGAAATCCATCTATTCCTCGAGCTCTAGCTGATGGTTGGGTAGGATTTCACTAATTTTGAGCCTAAATTGTTTGATTTTCGAGTTAGGGTTTGGCCGATTTTGGGTTCGCTATTCCGGCCACTTTCGGTCAGTTTTTGGGATAGGTCCAAGAACAAAAGTGGTTCCAAATAGGGTGTTTTACCTAGGGTAGGAGTCTTGAGCTGAGATTTGGAGATTTTCCGGTGAAGGCACACCTGAGAATACATAAGATATGGCTCATTAATCACACCCTAGCCTCCCTACTAAGATGTGTGACATAATATAGACACAGATTTCATAGACTTATGTGAGCATTTTGTGTAAGGGTACCTTGTTTCCAAGGACGGACCTATGTGTAAGTTGGAGTGGATTGTTTCCAAGAAGGGTACCTTGTTTTCGGGATCGGCTCCGCCGTAGCACGATATTGTCCGCTTTGGGCCCCCTTCTCTGCCATCCCGATTTTTTTTCTTGGAGTTCACGAGCAACTTCCTAGTGGATCACCCATCCTGGGATTGCTCTATCTCCAACTCGCTTAACTTCGGAGTTCTCATGACTCCGAAGCCAGTGATCTCCTAAAAAGCCTCATGCTAGATGGAGGTGGACATGTACATATAAGGCACATTAATCCCTCTCCGTTGGTCGATGTGGGATGTAACAATCCACCCCCCCTTAGGGGCCTGACGTCCTCGTCGGCACACTCATACCATACGGCAGAGTGGCTCTGATACCAAATTGTCACATCCCGGGATCGGCTCAGCCGTAGCACGATATTGTCCGCTTTGGGCCCCTCTCTCTGCCCTAACAATTTTGTTTCTGGGAGCTCATGAGCAACTTCCTAGTGGGTCACCCATCTTGGGATTGCTTTAGCCCCAACTTGCTTAACTTCGAAGTTTCCATGACTCCAAAGCCAGTGAGCTCCCAAAAGGCCTTGTCCTAGATGGAGGTGGGCATGTACATATAAGGCACATCACCCCATCTCCGTTGGTCGATGTGGGATATTACACCAAACGTGCATGTCTTTTCTTGTTTTAATATTACCACATTTCTGACCTAATAAAATAATAAAACACAACATGAGATATTTAATACAAAATAAATTGTGGGAATTACAACATGAGGTATTTAATACAAAAGAAATGGTGGGAATTTCAATTAGGAAGGAATTAAAGTCCCATAAGGAAGAGGGAAAGAGTGGATTCAGTGAAGGAACAATGGAACTTCTTATTCTTAGTTTTGCTTTGGACTCTAGCAATGATTTTAAAGCATTTAAGATTGATGATATTTGCAAGCTTGCAGAGAAGTTTTATCGTGCAAATTTCACTACTAAAGACTTGCGTTTGTTGAGGTGTTAGCTAGAACTTTTTGAGTTTGAAGTACATCAAGAAGATCTTGATATCTTTCAAAATATGTCTACTGTTTCCGAATTGTGTCAAGGATTAATTAAAACAAACAGAGCAAACACATATTAATTGATTGATAGGTTGATTCATTTAGTATTAACTTTTACAGTTTCTACAGTAACAGCAGAAAGAGCATTTTCAACTATGAAACATGTTAAGACTATACTTTGCAACACGATGGAGGACTATCTTGTAGATTCCCTTATTGTCTACATTGAGAAAGAACATGTTGTGGATATTGATTCAGATTCAATAATCAAAGACTTAGATTGACGCAAGGATGAAGGGTTCCACTTCACTAGGTAAGCTATTTTTATTTCCTTTGCAATGCAATATTTGTAGGGGCGGAACTAGGCCAAGGGCTACCCTGGGCTGTAGACCAAGGAAGGTTTTGGGGAAAAAAATAATTAAACATATATAGCCTAATATTTTAAACTAAAAATAAATTAAAAACATATACAATTGCATATCCTACCACACAGTGGCGGACCTATTAAGCATCTCTCCTTGCTAGAAAAACTATTTTATGTGCTTCAAATTGCCCATTTGCTCAGCTGGTGGTGGTGCATTCCAGGTGTACAGATTACCTTATTTCCATTTTAGCATTTAAGCAAATGTCTTTGTTCTTTTACTTTCGTTTATTTTTTTATTACTCAATTTGCTTGATTTTACAATGTAAATAAGAAAGTATCCCCCATTTGGATTCAAATAAAAATACTAAAAAATCAAATTCCCACCAAATCTAAATATGAAAAATCGGTTTAGTTCAAAATACGATTTAGGCTAAGAATGATGAATCATTAAATCAATATATATTTCATACTAAAATCCCATAAAATCAAGTTTTCTTATTTGATGTGAAGCAGCCAAAAATTATCTTGAGAAATGATTATTCCGAAAAATCAATTTTCATACTTCAACAATATTTTTACAATTTTTCATCTAGGTAAAAAGCTTTAGATGTTCAATCCACAAAGAGTTTTGTAGCTTTTCAAAATTGCACATTTGCTAAAAAATTCCTAGGTCCGCCAGTGCTACCACACCAATAGTCAAAGTCAAAGGTCTTCCACATCTATATTTGGTGTTAAACTTTGCCCCAAACATCAATTTTAATCCTTTTCCATTAATGTATCTCTTAAAGAGAAGCATTTTTCTAAATAAAATTCACCCTTTTGTGAATAATATGGCTATAATTCCATTTTTTTTTCCTTGTGTTTACAATTAGCGTGATTTGTATGATTTATATGATTTAATGTATATTTTTATTCATAGAAAAAACTTTAGAAACTGTTAGTACCAGAAAAAATATATATCAATAGATTTTAAGCTAATAACTTTAGCTAAGCAACCCATTAAAAAATTCATGGTTCCGCCCTTGAATGTTTGTTTGATGTTTGATAATTTGTGTTTAATTTGATGTTTATTTATATATTGACAATATGTGAAGAAAAAAAATATTAGCCCACCCTCAGAAAAATTCCTAAATTCCTTGAACTTGTTTCTCCATGTATTTGCTTGCCATGTCTATATATAATTGGTTTCCATCTAATAAGAAACCACATATAATTAATTCGATGGACGCAATTCCCTTCCTCATAAGAAACTTATCCAATTGAAAGACAATGTTCTGTTTGTAATTCTATCATTTCTTGGTAGACTTCAATCTCTTGATCGTTTTCTATGATTCTTGGCGTGTAAAAACTTGATATATTTAACAGCCTTCACCCTCGTTGCTGATCATATTCATTCATGCGGGGGATTGGGGTTGAAAATTATCTGGAAACTCCGTTTTTCTTAATGTGTGTCCTCCTTAAGACATGAATATAGAAGAGCTCTGGAATTTATAAGCACAACTTGAGTTACTGACATATATGATAATTTCAGAGGCTTATAGAGCAATAATCATTAGTCCTCGAAGTTTTCATGATTTGTTTTGTTTTGCCGAATCCTTTGGACTTTTTTCGTTTTCTCTTTTAATTTCTTTGGGTATACGTAAGAGATGGAATATTAGTATACTCGTGATACTCTCCAGATATAAAAGAGAAAGAAAAGGAAGGAATGTAATTATAAGTACTTAAAGAATAAATGCCTGATTCTTAATTCACCAATGCACTCAACCACACTACTTTAAGGTGATCCTTCACTCTTCTAGCTGAGTTGTAAAATTTTATCTGAGACCTAAATATAAAACAACAAAAATAGCAAGCCTGGTCAGCTTTCGGCCGTTCATATCTGGTTGTGAAGAGCAGTAAGAATGGTGAAAACTGTGGTTCCTGCTGATGCAATTGTTGTCGAAGTTCTTAACAAAGATAACTATGAGCATTGGAGTGCATTGGTTAAAAATTATTTGGTGGCTCAAGACCTTTGGGAAGTAGTAGAGGCTACAGCTGAACCTCCTAAACCAGAACAAGAAGCAGAAGCTGATGATCAGTTCAAGGCCTGGAGGAAGAAGAATGCAACAGCTTTACATACGATCCAAGTTTCGTGCGGGCCTGATGCTTTTTCAATGATTAAGGAAATTAGTTCAGCCAAAATTGCTTGGGATACTTTGGCCGAAAAGCTCATGCCGCAACCATCACTCCTAATTAATTCATTTGTTCAGTCTGCAAACTCATCATCCAACCCAGGTATATTGTTAAAAGTAGTAGTAGTAGTTTATTAGACAATATCAAGGGCCAAAATTATTCAACATATAGTAAAACAAAGATGGTATGATTTTAAGGGTGATAGAACAAGGATGGTATGATTTCCAGTTTACTTCTAGCAACTTCTTAAACTGATCTCCATCCTCGCAAAGACTAAATTTGAAAACATATTATCAACCTGTTTTCCAAATTAGAAAAGCTTTGTATCAACTTTATTCAGCCTACTAAAACAAGGATGATATGATTTTAGTTTAGAGTTGTTATTTTGATATAACAATGGTAAACAGAGAAGCATTAATGTCCAAACATATATATATATTTACTCGACAGATGCTGCAATTGCTGCCAAGCATGATCCGTATCAACCTTTCTTCGCTGCTGTTAAGCTCGGTGATTGGCGTAAAGCGAAGGAATTTCTTACCCGAGATCCCAATGCAATAAGAGCAAGATATTCAACAGGAGGGACAGCTCTTCACATTGCAACCAAGTTCGGACATGAGCATATTGTGGAAGAGTTGGTTCAGTTGATGACACCGGAAGACTTGGAAATGCAAGATGGTACTTGGACAGCTCTTCATATTGCTGCAAGATTAAATCTCAAAATGGTTGAATGCATGGTTACAAAGAACAAGAAACTACTTGGCATTGTTGAAGAGTCCCACGGTCTGACACCAATTCTCTTCGCTGCTAAGTTAGACTTATGGGATATCGTTCGTTATCTCTACACCCTCACTCCGATCCAAGACTTAATGCCAGAGAATGGCCCTTATGGCGCTGGACTTGTTTCCTTTTGTTTCTTTGCCAAACAATTTGGTAGAACTCTCAACCAACCCAGACCCACATTATTTATTTATTTTATACAAGCAATATTGGGGTAGGGGACTTGAATACAGGACATTGGGTATCTGTTCTTAAACACTTGAGCTACAAGCCCCTTACATTATTTACTCATTTATTACTCAAGCTTTTAACTTTCACAGTTCCGATTTTCTCTAATATAGATATTGCGTGGGAATTACTTCAGCGTTGCCCACAATTGGTAATTGCTAAAAATCGGTGGGGAGATTCCCCTATATATATATTGGCTCAAGTCCCTTCTGCATTTCCGAGTGGCACACGGCTCAAATTCTGGGAAAAGTGGATCTATGATGGTTAGTAATACACTCTTTTTTCTCTTGCTACTATCAAATTCATTATATCCCATATATATTTTGCTAACAGTTCATCTATGTAACACCCCGACCCCAAATTTATCCCATGTTTTAATTTATTTAAGTGGAATTGAGAAATTACCCGTGGGATAGGGGTATTTTAGTCATTTTCTTATCCTGAAGGAATTTGGGAATTCCGGTTGTACCGTTGCGTAGAGCACGGTGAGATGAGTCCGTAGACACGTAGTGGGCTCGAATCGGAGTTGTAACGAGAGAGATATGATCAAATGAAGCTCAGTGGCATAGTCGTAAATATTTTGAAGTGGGATTTTTGGTTAAAAGACGGAATTGCCCCCGTCTCTCACACACTCTCTCTCTCCCGCGCGTCCCGCTCTCTCTCCTCTGGTTCGCGACTGCCACCACAGCCGGCCACGTTTTGGCCGGCCGTTCATTCGTCCGGCCACCACTCGGGTCGGGACCGGTCCCAAAATGACCGGCCTGACTTCGCCGTCCTACCCCACCCGTTCTCCGATGTCAGCCGGCAGCGGTATCGCCGGAAATTGCAGAAAAATGACCGGTTTTTACCCAGATTTTCCGGAGCTCGTTCCGGCGATTCCGGCCACCAAATCTTGCGATCAAGGTATGCTTTCTCACCTATTTTTCGTGATCTAGCTGATGGTTGGGTAGGATTGTATCGATTTTGAGCGTAGGAGGTCTGATCTTCGAATTGGATTTCGGCCGGATTTCGAGGGGAGATTCCGGCCACTTCCGGTCAGATTTTGGGGTATGCCCAAGAACAAAAGTGGCTCAGAATAGGGTTTTACATCAAGGATAGGAAGCTTGGCCGGCGGTTTGGAGTTTTCCGGCCGCCGGAAATTACTCAAGGCACCCACGCACTGCCAGCGCGTGTGGCGGCGCGTGGGCTAGGAAAATGGACCGGCTTGAGGTTCTAAAATGATCCCCTGGTTCTCACGAGCGCGTAGGTGTGCTCGGATCTCATTTTGGGTACCGTTAGAGTCCCGAACGGATATCGCATATCGCGTATTTTCCGGGATTGCTAGGTTTGGACCGTTGGATGGTCCTGAAGTTATAATATGTTGATCTAGGTATTACCAGGATCATGTAGGATTTGACGGATTGTAAAATGGAGTCCCGGATACTCCAGAAATGCCAACCCTGGGGTTAGGGTTTTAGTAACCGTCCGATCGTGCGATCGTGAGCGATCCGACCGTCCGATCTGGACCAAACTTGCAGGACGTGTGTCCTAGACCTTATAGAACCTACTTTCGGATCGGAATTTGGAGGTTGTGGGCCCCGCAGGCCCGTTTGACCCTAGGTTGACCGTGAGACTTCTGAGATAGTCTTACCTTTCCTTGAGGGTTAGGATGACCTTAGTGACAGGTCTTGAGCATTGTTGAGTTAAATGGATATTGTGGGTTTAGGATATAAATTGGTGAATTTAAGTGGTGGGAGTTTATGGAATGTTTTATTGGTTGATGTTATTGTATGATATATTTAATTAATTGTGTGGAGGTATAATGATTTATAAGGAGATTGAATGTTAGTTTGCAGTGCTATACGCACTACCCCACGTACCCCTCATATTGTGATTATGCTCAGGCCCAAGTGATAGTGTGAGGTCGCACGCGTCTTTGGGTTAGCCGGCGTGTTGACAGACCCCGTACGTGGCCGGGTGCGTCCCGACGTATGAGTGGGAGATATGATTGTGTGAGGGCTGGTGAGAATGTAGCCAGGCCCAGTGTGAGGTCGCACGCGTCTTTGGGTTAGCCGGCGTGTTGACAGACCCCGTACGTGGCCGGGTGCGTCCCGACGTATGAGTGGGAGATATGATTGTGTGAGGGCTGGTGAGAATGTAGCCAGGCCCAGTGTGAGGTCGCACGCGTCTTTGGGTTAGCCGGCGTGTTGACAGACCCCGTACGTGGCCGGGTGCGTCCCGACGTATGAGTGGGAGATATGATTGTGTGAGGGCTGGTGAGAATGTAGCCAGGCCCAGTGTGAGGTCGCACGCGTCTTTGGGTTAGCCGGCGTGTTGACAGACCCCGTACGTGGCCGGGTGCGTCCCGACGTATGAGTGGGAGATATGATTGTGTGAGGGCTGGTGAGAATGTAGCCAGGCCCAGTGTGAGGTCGCACGCGTCTTTGGGTTAGCCGGCGTGTTGACAGACCCCGTACGTGGCCGGGTGCGTCCCGACGTATGAGTGGGAGATATGATGGTATGATGGCTGGTGAGAATGTTGCCAGGCCCAGTGTGAGGTCGCACGCGTCTTTGGATTAGCCGGCGTGTTGACAGACTCCGTACGTGGCCGGGTGCGTCCCGACGTATGAGTGGGAGATATGATGGTATGATGGCTGGTGAGAATGTAGCCAGGCCCAGTGTGAGGTCGCACGCGTCTTTGGATTAGCCGGCGTGTTGACAGACCCCGTACGTGGCCGGGTGCGTCCCGACGTATGAGTGGGAGATATGATGGTATGATGGCTGGTGAGAATGTAGCCAGGCCCAAGTGATAGTGTGAGGTCACACGCGTCTTTGGATTAGCCGGCGTGTTGACAGACCCCGTACGTGGCCGGGTGCGTCCCGACGTATGAGTGGGAGATATGATGGTATGATGGCTGGTGAGAATGTAGCCAGGCCCAGTGTGAGGTCGCACGCGTCTTTGGATTAGCCGGCGTGTTGACAGACCCCGTACGTGGCCGGGTGCGTCCCGACGTATGAGGGGAGCTATGCGATTGTGTTTGGTGTGTTGTGATGGATAAACCCGAGAATGTATGAATTTATATGGATGTAATGGTTTAATTGATGTCAGGAGCCAGGATTGATAGGAAAGAGCTACGTGTGGCTTGATCCCTTAGTAGGGTACGTAGGCAGCCTGGGATAGCGCCTAGGTGCAGCCACGACTTAGACACCACTTAGGTGGTTTTCTCGAGTATGATGCGGACCTCGTGGTTGGTCCCGAAACTTGGTTGAATTGAGGCTTGTCCGATGGACTGAGTGAGTGAAGGTGTGTATGGATGGATTTTGAATTGGTTATACGCATGTGTGATGCATTAAGTTATTTTGAAAACAGTATGGGCAGTTCGTTAGAATCATTTGAAGGCCGGAGGCCATTTATGTAAATTGCATGAGAGTATATTGTGCGTGCTGCTGGTTGGGTTATAAAATGAGTTTTATGCAGGTAGAAGTTTTGGGGAATGTTCAATTTACAGGGGAGACTCTGCCAAAATTTCGGCAGAAAGTCTCGTGCCCTTAATCCTCTATGGTGAACGAGGACGTAGATTTAAGGAGTAAACCCGGCGTGGGTGTGATGCCGGGGTCTCCGCAGGGATCGTCTCGGGTTCCGGGAAATTCGGGGCGGGTCCTGTCAATCTACGCCATTAATATATTTTGCTGACAGTTGATCTACACCATTAATAAAGATTTCAATCATTCGATCACATTACACGGAGGGCCCTACCATAATGGTCCATTTATTTGTTTAACATCTATTATCACAAAAGATAATAGTTATTGAAATTGATCTTACATGTCCAAAAAAAATATTTATTTATTATATTGACTGAGCTTTGTTCTCTTTTCTTTATAGGTATACACATACAACATCCTCCTGCCATCCATGATGTTCACGTCAATGTTGAAAATCTAGAAGAGAAACTTGGCAACCAAAATATCAGTTTCTCAGGTTTGCTAGATCTTGAAACCCTATAGGTTTTTTTTTTTTGTTTTTTTTCAATGATTCATGTATTAAATGATACATGAAGTTGATAATGACATAGTTTGCCACAAAAAGAAATTGGTTCTAGTACGCTCATAAACAAGAACTAAAATCTTAATAAGAAGCTGGGAATCATATAGCAAAGCACATTCATAAATTGTATGAACAAGGCATATTTATCTTTTGATAAAGGCTAGATTTTGAATTTGCATTGCAGTATTCGGTTTAACGCAAGGGCCTTCTTCAAGCCTCCGCAAGCTTTTAGGTATATATGCAAACATTCTTTTCCATCTTTTTTTGTTGGTGTCTTTGTACATTGGTTTTCTCCACTTATTTAAACTCTATCAACGTATTTTATTTCTACAAAAACTGGTTGTAACATTTTTTCCAACATCAACCTAGGAATCAACCGCATATGTGAAATGAAATTGATCCATGCTCGATCCTTGGATATTTTGGATTACATGTGTGAAGTGATAAAAGATCTAGACACTCAAGACATGATAGAAGGCCTTGTCTATAGAGCACTATTCCTTGCTGTACAAACTGGGATTATTGAGTTCGTTATTCGTTTAGGTAAAGTAGATCCGGATATATTGTGGCAACCCAATTCAATGGGAAGGAACATATTTCAATATGCAGTTGAGCGTCGCCAGGAAAAAGTATATAGCCTCATATATGGGGTTGGTCAAAGAAATCTTATTGCAACATTTGCAGATGCTTCTGGAAATGATATGCTACATCTTGCAGGGATGCTATCTCCAACAGAAAAACTTGATCGTATTTCAGGTGCAGCTTTGCAAATGCAGAGAGAAAGACAATGGTTCAAGGTTAGATATCTTCATTCTATATCTTTCTTGTAAATTAATTGTATTTAGAGCTAGTTGTGTTGTGGGATATTAGGTGCTGGAGTGGTAGCTTGTAAATGTGGTTGTGGGTTGATATGTTGTCGATGAAACTAGTGGCAGTATTAGGTTGGTAGGGCTTTCTAGTTTAGTTGAGGTGCCATATGGAAAGTGAGGTGGGAACACTAGATGAGGAGGATTTGCGGTCTGGTTGAATGATTTTGGGAAGGAGGCAGTTCGGACTCATGAAAACGTTTTTCTCTGCTACGATCTACTTGTTTTTATTCTAAACATGTATTATAAAATGCATTCAAAGGTTAAAAATGTGACACCACGCCCACATATTTGATATGCCAAGAAATACTGTAAGGCATATTTGATAAGGTTAAAATGTTCTTTTGTTTCAAGTTGGGAAACGTAGGTTAAAATTCAATTAATTTAGAGTAGATTTTCACGTTTATTATATTAACAGGCGAACAAGAGAAAATTTAAGAGCTTATTTAAAACAGTAAGGATAAGAAATAAGAAAACCCATGTTGCCGCCCTCTTGTGGGTCGGTGGCCTCCCTCCTTCCCTCTCCTTCCTCCACTCCCCCTCCCAGTTCTTCCGCTCAGCTCTCCAGTTTTTGTATTTTCGGTTTTGTGGTGTGGAATCAGTTGTTGTCCTGACAGCCGTTGTCTTTTGGCCATGTACCCACAAGGATTGGCTCCAGTTATCTGCGTTTGATATGGGTTTGGAGCCACAAGGAGGGGATGTTGCTGGGCTGCGTAGGGTTCAGGTTTAGCCAGTATGGTGCTATGGCTCTCTTTGATATATCAGGGAGGATACAGTCAAGTGGCTCTACTTTTTAGTTTGTTTATGTCTAATAATTTTACAAAACAGTTATGTTTTGTTTTCTTTTATTGAAAGGTTTTGTTTAATGAAATGCACGAGGTGAGATCCCGACAAACTAATATTTAGTAACTACAAAAATTAGACTTGCCTCATAGAAAAATAGGAAGTAAACAGGTAAACAACAGTGAAATCCTGACAAGTTTTATTACGTTGTGGTCAACAATGCTCCTTGTCGTATTTCTTTCATGTGTTATGTTGCCTTCCATGAAAGCAGTGATTCTAGAGTTAGTTACCTGGTAGCCACAACGAACTTGAGGCTTATATGTTTAATGAAATGCAGGAGGTGAAAAGTCTTGTAGTTTTACCCTCAGGAGTGGGAGCTTTCAATAAACAGGGTATGAGACCCCATGAAGTATTTACCCAGAACCATAATAAATTGAAGGAAGAAGGAGAAAAGTGGATGAAAGATACAGCAACCTCTTGTACAGTTGTAGGTGCTCTCACTATTACCATCATGTTTGCTGCAGCCTTCACGGTGCCTGGTGGAAACAATGGAGGAACAGGCTTTCCCTTGTTCTTAGATGAAAAGATGTTTATGGTTTTTATAGTTTCAGATGCTATATCACTCTTTTCTTCCACAACTTCAGTGTTAATGTTTTTGGGAATCCTTACATCACGATATGCAGAAGACGATTTCCTAAAATCCTTACCCACAAAGATGATAATCGGCCTTTCAACACTCTTGATCTCCATCGCTTCCATGATGGTTGCCTTTTGTTCTGCTCTTTTCCTTATGCTTCATGAAAGACTATGGATTGTCATTCCAATCATTTTCCTCGCCAGCGTTCCAGTCACCTTATTTATTTGGATGCAATTTCCCCTTCTTGTTGAAATTTTCATTTCTACATATGGAGGAGGGATATTTGACAAGAAAGTGAGACGGTGGATATAAATTCTTGATTGTATATGAAAAATTGAATAACTTTTGTGTGTTGTTCTTCAATTTGGAAGACATTGTTGAATAGGAGAACCTTTACATCTCTCCCCTCCCTTTCACCCGTCCCTTCTAATGTGATTTTTGAGTGATTGAGTTGTTGGTGTTGCTACGTACCCTCCATTTCAATGAAGGAAATTGAAAATTACATAGAATTCTTAAATTACATAGAATTCTTATACAGAGATGTAGTCTCAGGGTATGGAATAGTTGTTAGAGTTTGTAACCTTTGTTCTGGCAGCCCCTTCCTTACCACAGAGATAGTGCAGCTCAGATCAATATAGGCATGATATGTCCCCTAAAATATTAATATATTATTAAATATCTAATTGCATGAATAAATAAATCAAATAAAAAGCTCATCTGTTCAATATTGTAACACACACTTCATTCGAATGTACATTAATTTTCTCATGGTGAACCTCTTCAATGGATTGCGAATGCATTTTATTAAGCGTTGATGCCCATTAAGGTTTTCTAGTATCACTTTCTTTCTCATTTAAGCTAGGTTCTCTTAAAATCATATTGTTTGAAGTTAATTACTACTTCTCATGCAAAGAAAACATTAATCAATTCTCATGCAATCCAACTCTATCTTTAGTCTCTTTCATTTCATATCAAATGATATATTGGGCGATTCTCATGCAATCCAACCTTCTAGGGGCAAAGTTTAAACTACACTATAAATCACGAACACAATTGATGAAGAGAAGGTTTTATAGCGGCATAAACTTCATGCCAACCATTCTGTGAAGGGTGTACCGTATCCCAAAAGAAAGAAACATCAGGGTCATCGCATACAATGTACTTCTTTGCACCAGTCTGATCCACACTCCCGCATGAGTATTCATTGCTCACCCCAACACAACATGGCTTTAGTGTGTTAATGTGGAATGTCGAATATCCTGCTATTAAAGAAAGAATATGATCAAATATAGACATATATACATGAGTAGGACCACATTTATTGACCACCACCTTATAAACGTATTTAAGAAGGACCCACATGGATGGTACCTACTTTTATTAGAAAGGCGGTGAGCAAGGTGATGAGTAAATGAAAAACAAATAGCACTATCCAAAAGTAATACAAGTAGAAGGGATCAATTAGCGTTCCCGGAAAAGGGATTTATTACCTTGATGATGTTTTGGGCGCTTCACTGCAGATATAAACGCATTATAGAGATCCAAGTCGACAAATGCCGAATTCTTTGTCTCCTTGTTCAACTCTTCCAACTTTTGAAGCAGAATCTGGTTGTGGAACATTGAAGCCATATTGGCAAATTCATTGCAGTTTTGATATGAAAGAAAGGAAGTTATGCTGGGAAGACATCCTAGGGGCTCTATTGTTGTAACTGCTATTTTTTGCACTCCCAAATCATGTATACGCTTCAAATCCACAGTAAGCTGCTTAATAATAGATTTAGTAAACATTGCCAAATCCTGTCATTTGGAAGATACAACGAGTGCGATCAAGTTGGTATAAAGTCTCTTCAAAATTCAATATATCATGCATGTATTTACGGACATGCCAAGAACCCCACATAGTTCGGAAACATCTAAACCCTTTAATAATCTTGTGTTTGATTAAAGTTCCCTAGAAAATGATGGAATCTTGAATTTAAATATATGCTAAAAAACAAACATAACTCCTCGAGAAAAACAAACATCATGTTATTGTTCAACAATGACATCTTGTTATAATTGATTACTGACATATGATAATTACAATACAATAACAACAGATTAATTTAAAGTAGATTATCGTTTGTATAAAAATATTTATTAAGAAATGTCATTTTGATTTTTCAAAATCCATAATTTGTCTGCTGTCACTAAATTATTATTGAAATTGGTGTATAAGCTCAAGTGATATTTCTATAGTTTTTTCAGAAGAAAAATTACATTACGTTAATAGCTTTTTATATTAGATGTTACTTAGAAGAAATGTTAATACACCAATGCAAGAGAGTAATATAAACAACTACAAAACGCACTTACGACAATAAAACCATTAGATTAACCACTTACCTTTGTGTCGTTGCCTGGTCTACCAAAATGAGCAGCGTAGTCGTTCCCCGCAACTGATACGAGAGCAATGGACGATTTAACGACGTCGTTTTTGGCATAGGCGTTTTGTTGAAGCAGCTGTTCGAAAAAGTCGATTTGGGTGGTCAAGTTCGGTCCACTGACCAATGTATCGAAAACACCTGTGCCTCCAAATGCAAAGTTCATCCCAGACTCTAGTTTGGATTTCTTCACAAATTTTCTCAATGCGTAAGGCACTGGAGATCTTATGCCCAAAAAGGAAGCTGCAATTTTGCAACACGTCAAGGAGGAACAAATAAAATAAAATTGGTTCTTTTTTGTTCTTAAAGTTTTGTTAAACAATGCAGACTTAGGTTGAGCCAGTTGGCTAGAGCAGTGAGTCCGGCCCCCTGCATCTAAATTTGAATCCCCTTTCCATAAATTCAATTAATTTAGAGTAGATTTCCATTTGTATCAAAAAGATTTGGTTAAACAATAATTCAAGCAAATTAAAATTCATGCTCCCCTATAAATAAAAATAATAATTATGCCAATACGATCCCAACCTAGTACTACTAACACAATTATATTTAAATTTTCTACATCTAAATAATATATGACGAATAAATTCATGTCAAATATTTCACATAGCATACTATAAAAACCAAAATTGAACTATGCCTCCTAATTATGCTCATTGTCGCATGTTGGTCCATGAACTTAACTACAGTTAATGGAGGATAAAATGACATTTACACCCATAAACTAACATAATTTTTTGTAAAGAGGAAAATACTCTTGAGAAAGAAAGGAAACAAACCAATATAATCAGTGAGGACACGACCGTTCGAAAACCGGCCGGCCGGCTTTCCCGGAAAAGTTATCCCATAAGGTTCCTTCCATGAAGGAGACACAGATTTTCTGATATTCCCAGTATCAACATATGAGTCCCCGAAGACGAAAAGTTTCACAGAGCCATGAATGTTGTGCTGATGAAGGTAATGATGAGCTTCAAGAACTTCTGCCACCATATATCAAAAGCAATAAAAAGGACAAATAAATACAATTTTCTTTTGTCTAAAAAAAATATATAAAGACTGATATCAAGAACATATATATATTTAGTTATGAAGAACTAACCTGTAAAAGTGGTGATGTATAAAAGGAAGAGACAAGAAGAGGCGATGGTGGTTTGCTTCTCCATTTGAAAGCAGAGATTTTTGGGTGTCTTGAAAGGAAAAAAATGAAAAGAAAAAGACACTGGCGTTCTTACATATGGGCATGATACAATGTACCCTGCTTAATAGCAATAGGTTTTTACAGCTTAGAAAAGGAAAAGAAAAAAACGGATTTTTTGTTTGTTTGAATATTTATTAATTTTGGTGACTTTAGTGTCATTTTCATTTTCCGTTCTATAAAAGATGGAAAACATTTATGACACCCAACAATTTCGTTGCAGCACTTGGAAAGTTTTTTATGTATCTTTTCTCATTTCATATTTTCTCGACATTAATTCTATAACAGTGTGTTTGAATGAAGGAAATAAATTTGGGATTTTTATAAAAGTCAGAATTTCTAAATTGACATGAATCAATTCCCGTGTTTGGATTAAAAAATTTTAGAAATTTAGAAATCCCTATGGAAAAAAAATGGAATATTGCAATCATAAATCCCAACTTTAAATTCTATCTAAAAGTACTTATTTCTCAAATTTCAAGATAAATTGAGTTTTTAAAAAATATAACTTTACAAATAAAGGCTAAATTCGGTATTTTAACTCCGTCATCCCAACAAGTAACTTTACAAATTCTAGAACATTAATTTCCTTCAATTTAAATTCCGTCATTTATAAATTCTTTTGTACTTTTTAATTTCCTCATCCAAATGCACTGTAAATAAACTTACTTCAAGGCCTAGCAATTATTATCATTTTTTTAAATCCAATTTTGCTCACTCCTTAATTATTATGATGTAGCTTAGGGTTTAAACCCTAAACATATTTATGATGTACCTCACCCTAAACCCTAAAACACTACTGTACTTGGATAGGCCTCAATAACCAAATCATACCTTTGTTCAAGCGGCCCCTTCTTACCACAAAGATACTACAACTAAGATAAATAGGCATCATGCTAACAGTGCCTAGTCCAATGAAAAAGGGTATTAACTTGCAGACTAGTAGACCTATGTTATTTGCTGTAGGGTTCATATTTTTGTTCACTATAGGAGGACTCACTGGAATAGTCCTGGCAAATTCTGGGCTACACTAGGTCATCAAGCTTTTGGTGAAGTTTTCACGCTGCTCATTTAAGTTTACAAGTCCCTATAGTCAAACCCGATCCTATGACTGGGCCTAGGCAGTTCTCCAGAGGGGTATCGTCAAGACCTCTAGAGACAAGAATAGTCGAAGTGAAAGGAAGGAAATCTTTTCCCGAATCAATGATCTAGAGGGGAAACTAAGTTATGGGCTACCCCCTCAACTGTCTGATGAGGGCTATGCTAGTCTCATAGCCATCTATCTCTATAGTATCCTGCAATTTCTGCTCATTCCCGTCCTTTTCATTCTTGATAACACATGAAAGAGACTGTTCTTGGTCCTTGGCCATCCTTTGTCCTCTTTCGATAATACCATAGATGATATTGGTCCCGATCTTCGATTCAATCTAGGAATGGTTGTTAAAGAGACCCGTGGTAATCGTCTTTTTTTTTCTTTATCTAAGGTCTTAGCTATCCTACTAACTTTTCTTTTTTCTTTTTCTTGTTCTTGTTGAGATACCTTAACATTGTCATTACACGCTGCTTTCCTTAGGTTAAAGAACCCGCATGACACATTGGCATTGTGTCTAAGAAAACCCCCATCCCCTTCTTAACTTTGGCAAAAGAATATATATATATATATATATATATATATATCAATAGGCATGATATGTCCCCTAATATACTAGTAATTGTAAAATATTAATCTAATTGTATATTAACCTAGTATGGAACTCAAATAACTGAACAGTTAATATATTCAATAAGACATGTTGAAATACTTCATTTTAGCTTAACTAAGACAATGTGGAATTCGAAAGTACATTACATTGTCACCAAGGTTGGTCCTGACTTTTGGGTGGCCATAGGCGATAAACTAAATGAGGCCCCTTCCCTTAGTATACAATTGCAAAAAAAAGCAACAAATAAAATGATTTTACGTAGAGCATAGAGTGCGTAAATAAGGATTTTACGATAAACAATTATAGAGAATAATCCTACCTGGTCAATTATAAAGCAGAGTCTAAGTCTCTTAACAGCAAAATCATTGTCTGTGTATAATTTGGAAATTGAAAAAATAGTTTGATGGATAGGAACAAATATACTCATGTTCCTCCCCTCTTGGTCACCATCAATCTCAAAGACAATTTGTGAGCTTTTTAGTATGAGATTGATTCTTAGGGTCACAATATGATATGAGAAAATAATGATGAGGGAAACTGAAAATAATGGGTGGATTGAAGAGAGATGGGGAAAACGGAGAAAAATATGGTGGTGGATTATTATGAGATGGGTGGATTAAATAGAGTTCTTCCATGGAGAAACTAACTAGGAGAGGAATCGTCTTCCTCAAGCACATGTTGTTTCTGTTTCTGCATGGGAAAAGAAAAAATCTTCTGGGAAGAGGAAACGAAGGAACCTAATTTAATCGCGTGTTGTTTCTGTTTTTTATTATTATAATAATAAATTGGACAATAGTATATATATATATATATATATAAATTTGGGGCCCCTTAAGAGCAACTCCACCCATTTGCCCTTAGCCATGGCAAGGGGGGGAGCTAGGGCAGCCACTATTCATGTGAATAGTGGTTGCCCTTGCAAATCAGAATTTTGTGTTTCCACCTGTTGCCCTTGCTAAGGGCAGTTACTATTCATTTTTTTGTTTTATTCACAAATTTTTTTACCTCAATAATTAATTTGGATAATATTTTCGGATAAGATTTTCGGGTTCCTACGTGTCAAGACTATTCATAATCGGATAAAATTTCGGGATAAGATTTTTAGGTTCAAATTTCGGATGAATTTCAAAATTCAAATTTCAGATAAATTTTTGGGTTCAAATTTCGAATGAATTTCAAAATTCAAATTTCAGATAAATTTGGGTTCAAATTTCGATGAATTTCAAATTTCAGATAAGATTTTCATCCAATCAAATCAAGCCACGTGGCATCTCTATCTTGCCAAATTTTTCTATAAAACCAGAGGCTCACCTCATACCTCTCACACCACATCTTTCAATATTTTCATTTCTTAGAGTTTAGAATTCATACTCCATTCATTCTCAATGGAAGAATATAGGAGATGCTTGGAGAGGCAAGAGAGAGAAAGAAAGGAGAGAAACCGTAGAGCCAATGAAATCAATGAGTTGCAGAGGCAAGTCGATGAACAAGTTCTCATAGCAGTGGCAATGGAAGAGGAAGAGAACCAAGGTCGCCGCCGTGGTTCACAAGTCGGCCGTCGCCGGAATGTGGACAGACATAGGCATTCTCGGGGTAAGAATCTTTTGGAAGATTATTTTATCCCAACTGCTTTGTACTCTGATGTTGATTTTCGAAGGCGATTTAGAATGCAACCCTCATTTGTTCAATAAAAGTCATGCATGATATTTGCAATTATGATGCATACTTTGTTCAAAAGTGTGATGCTACTGGGGTTTTGGGCCTTCTTTCGGAGCAAAAGCTTACAGCTGTTATACGAATGTTGGCGTATGGAGCATCTGCTGATCAGGTGGATGAGGTTGCCCGAATGGGGAAGTCCACTACGTTGGAGGCTTTGGTAAGATTTTGTGATGCAGTTGAAAATCTGTACACTAGGGACTACCTGCGTAGACCTACTCCCAGGGACCTCCAACGGCTTCTACAAAAAGCCGAAGCTCGAGGATTTCCAGGAATGATTGGTAGCATCGACTGCATGCATTGGCAATGGAAGAATTGCCCAACTGCCTGGCAAGGTGATTACGGAAATAGAAAAGGCACAAAAAGTATCATCCTGGAAGCCGTTGCTGGCTTCGACACATGGGTTTGGCATGCTTTCTTCGGAGTTGCCGGAGCCCAAAATGACCTCAACGTCCTGGGTCAATCTCCGGTCTTCAACGATGTTTTGAGCGGCCAAGGCCCCAATATTACCTATCAAGTCAACAATACAGTCTACCAGACGGGGTATTATCTAGCTGACGTATCTACCCAAGGTGGACCACATTTGTCAAATCCATTCCGAATCCCCGATCCCATAAGCAAAAATTATTTGCTACCTATCAAGAAGGATACAGGAAAGATGTCGAAAGGTGTTTTGGCATCCTTCAAGCTCGATGGTTGATTGTTCGAGGTGCGGCCTGTATGTTTGATGAGGAGATCCTCCGAAGCATTATGATGACTTGCATCATCCTCCATAATATGATTGTGGAGGATGAGTACGATTATGATGCTGGAGAGGTCTATGAACCGGATCCAATAAACACGGCCTTGACCCGGATTTATGAAAGGCCCATGGGGCCAAATGGAGAACCGTTTGAGCCGGAACCGTTGGTGAGGGACGATCGTATGATGACCCGGATGATAGATCGATATACAGAGATGCAATCTTCGTATATTCATGAAAGGCGTCAACTTGACTTGATGGAGCATCTATGGGCGGTGAAAGGGAATGAAGATGAATGATGGAGCATAGATGCTTTGGTTATGTTTTATTTACTTATGGTTTGGTTGTGTTGTTTACTATTGCTTATGGTTTGGTTGTGTTGTTTTATTTATTTATTATTGTGCCTTGTTTGTAGTTTTTGTTTTCATTTTAATTATGTTTTGTTTGATGTGTGGAATATGTTGAATAAAATGGTCTTTTATTGAATGCTTTGTTTATTAAATAAAGAAATCCAATACAAGTCATTAAGAATTACTACTACTAAAATAAAATACATGAAGTACACCAACTTAATAGAAAACATGAAAAATAAAAATACATAAAAGGTATGCCAACTAATTTAATGGTTTTGATCATTTAACCAATCCGTGTTGCTAGGCCCATCATCCTGGAAAAGTCTTCTTCTCATAACATCCCTTCGTTCTAGCTTCCAATATTGTTTTGTTTCAGGAGACATATGACTTGTATCCATCGCCATGGTTTCCCGATCCGTTTTCTCCATATCTTTTTTGCGCAAATACTCCTTTTCTCGTGCACACTCGGCTTGAATTGCCACCTCCATATCTTGGCGTTTCTGCTCCATTTCAATTCTTATGGTGTTTTGCCTTGCAATTTCCTCCAAAAACTTTGAATTATGATTGCTTGAATTACCCGCTTTCTTTGCCTTCGCAGCCTTTCGGCCAATGGGCCTCGGTTCCTTTTGGATGGGTGAGTCTTCACTCATAGGGGAATCGAGAGGTGAATCCGATGTCGTTGAATCACGGAGAGGCGTCTCGTTTAACACAACGTCGGGACCCGTGGGAATAATTAGGAAGCGTTTACAATATTTCACCACCTCCCAACATTCATGATGGGTGAAACTTTTTTTGCCACCCCCGGTTGCACCGAACCACATCTGTGCTTGAATGAGCTATTTAACAAAAAAATGGAAATGCAAGTAACAAAATAAAAATAATGGAAATGCAATTAACCTTACAAATAAATTGCAAGTGCAAGAAATATGAAGAAACAATTGGAAATGCAATAAATATTAACAACATATTGAAAATGCAAGAAATATTAACAAAATATTTGAAATGCAAGAAATATTAACAAAATATTGAAAATGCAATAAATATTAACAACATATATATATTAGGACATTAAACTTAATAAAACGAAAATTACAAAATACTTACCTCGTTAGTACGATTTTCCCCACTTCTATACAAGTTCATCGCTTTTGCCAAGGCATCTCTCCATTTTGCCATCTCTTTGTTGAGAAGTTTCCACCTACTCGACAATGCCATTTCCGTACGAGGCGACTCCGGAATTTTTTCGCAAAATTCGGCATGAATTTTTTTCCACATATGGAAAAATTTCATCTCATTGCCTGTCACGGGACAATGACAAACTCGGAGCCAAGCCTCACACAAAGAAACATCTTCCATGGTGCTCCACGCCCCTCCGGTTTCAATAGAAGAAGCCATAAAAATAAGAAATAAAAATACAAGGTGAAAGAGATGAAAATGTTGAGTGAAGAGTGAAAAAATGTTGAGTAATTGTAGAAGTAGAATAAAATGTATGAGAATTGGTGTTGAAAGTGAAGGGTATTTATAGGTATTTATAGGAAAAAAAAATCAGAATTTTAATGTATTTTTTTTTTTTTTTTTTTTTTTTTTTAATAAATTTTTTTTATAATTTTATTGCTTTTGGAAATTTATCGTCAGCCGTTGGATGAAGGCTGTGGAATCAAATCGGAGCGCTGGGGGCGTGCCACGTGGCTTCCAGCCGTTGGGCTTGCGTCGGCTGACGTTAGCGCACGCTGCTTCAAATTTTTTTTACCGTTGGCGCGCGCGTAAAAAAAATTTGAACCCGCGTGTCGACGTCAGCCTGACATCGGGCTGACATCACCCTCCCGCGTTTTGGACCTCGGGCTGATGTTGCCTTCGGGCCAGCCCCCCCCCCCCCCCACCCCCCGCGCGCCCCCCCCGCCTGGGCTGCTCCGCTGGAACGCAAATTTTTTTTTTTTCCCTAGCCTCGGGCTGGGCTTGCTGCTGGAGTGGCTCTAATTGGAGGCCCATGACCAAGGCCCCTCTCGCCCACCCCCAAGTCCGACTCTGACTGTCACTGTAGCTTGTTGTGGATGTGTTTTTTTTTCAATCAATTTTTTTTTTTTTTTTTTTTTTTTATTTTACAAAGAAGATATGCGAATGCATATTTATTAAGCGTGGATGCTAATTAAGGTTTTATATAGATAACTTTATATCTTATCTGCTGACTTCTAACTCTAGCTAGGTTAAAATCACACTATTTGTACTTAATTAGTACTTCTCTCATGCAAAGAAGTTGATAAATTATCAAGGAATCCAACCACATATTAGTCTCTTTTATATCATTATGATATATTGGGTAAACCAACCCTCTAGGGCCAATATTTAAACTGCACAATAAATCACAAATACAATTGACGAAGGGAAGATTTTATAGCGGAATAAACTTCATGCCAGCCATTCTGCGAAGGGTGAATCGTGTCCCAAAAGAAAGAAAGTTTGGGCTTATCACATACAATGTACTTCTTTGCTCCACTCTCATCCACACTCCCACATGAGTATTCCTTGCTCACCCCAACACAACACGGCTTCAGTGGATTAATCTGGAGTGTCGAGTATCCTGCTATCCGAAAAAGAGTTCAAGTAGTACATGAGTTCACATTTCTTGACCACCTTACATACAGATGAGGGGGATCCAAGGGCGGAGGTGTGCTTAGGCCTGCAAGGGCCTTGGCCCTCCCAAAATTATGAAATAGTATATATTTTGCCTTTGCATTGTACAACTTAGGACAATATATATTAAATTAATGCTTGTGGCCCCCCACAATAAAGAGAGAGGGATTTACATTTCCCTCTCCAACTAAAAGACTGTTTCCTTAGCAATATGGCAAAGTTACTCCTAGATTCTACCAACATAATTAAAAAAAATTTAAAAAAAACAGCAAATCAAATATTTCTTTCACAAGTATATTTAAGAAAATAGGAAATTAAAGATAATCGATTATTTATTTATTTACAAGCTTAACACTGGGAAAGAAATCAACCTTAAACCCTAATATATTGGCCCCTCCACACATAAAATCCTGGCTCCGCCACTGGGGGGATCCACATAAGCAGTACGTACCGACCTCTATTAGAAAAGTGGTGAGCAACATGATGACTAAATGTGACATATCCAAAAGTAATACTAAGCTAGTAGAAAGGACAAAATTACAGTTCATTACAAAGAGTTAATTAATTAATTACCTTGATGATGTTTTGGGAGCATAATTGCAGACAGAGATGCGTTATAAAGATCCAAGATTACAAATGAAGATTTCTTAGTCTCCTTGTTCAACTCTTCAACTTTTTGACGCAAAATCTGGTTATGGAAAATTGAAACCAAATTGGCAACTTCACTACAATTCTGATATGAAAGAAATGAAGTCATGCGGGGCAGACATCCCAGGGGCCCTATTGCTGTAACAGCTATTTTTCTCACTCCCAACCCATGTATACGCTCTAGATCCACAGCAAGCTGCTTAATAATGGATTTGGTGGCCGCTGCGAAATCCTGTCATTTGGGGGATACGAGTGCCATCAAGTTAGCATCAAGTCACCTCACAATGCAATATATCATGTATGTATAATGTATATTTGTGGCCATGCTATCACTACTACATTTTAGTCTTTGCGCGACGAAAGGGTTTTCGTCGCGCAAAAACGATTTTAGTCGCACATCATTATGCGCGACAGAATATTCGTCGCGCACAATCCGTCGCGCAAAGGTCGTGAAGAAAGGATTTGCGCGACGAACAAATGCCATTCGTCGCGCAGTTTGCGCTACGTATAACATCTTCGTTTCAAAAAACATTTCGCGACGACCTCATTGTCCGTCGCACAAATATTTGCGCGACGAACCAGAGGTCGTCGCAAAAAAACTGCGCGACGGAATTGTCCGTCGCGCGAACTACATGAACCTTGCGCAACGACATCTTGTTCGTCGCGCATACACATCTTGCGCGACGAAATTACTCGTCGCGCAAGATTAAGATATATTTAAATGTTTTTTGCGCGACGATTTACGTTTCGTCGCGCAAAAGCAATATATATTATTAAAAAAAATTTATTATTATTTGATTTTTAATTTGTAAAAAATAAATGTTGTTTTTTTTTAATTAAAATGAAATTACAATTAAAAAAATTAATCGTAAAGAAAACATCTATTATATAAAATAAAATAAATGTATACAAATTGTAAAATAAATTATAAAAATAACAAACTAATCAAATAATGTTCCGAAATCTAATTGGTCATCTGCCACATGCGGCTCGGAGGTATGCGGCTCGGAGGTATGGGCGTCTGCAGGGGCCGTGGTGTGCTGGGGATGCTCGGGCTGGACGGGCTCGGAGGTCGACGCACCAAAATTCGGGATTGGAATCCCGGACCGCGCGAGCGACTGCAGAATCACCGACATCTGACCCTCAAGCTCGGCAACCCGCGATGTCAAAACAGTCACCTGACTGTTTGCCTGCGACGATGACCGCGGTCGAGGTTCCCTCTGTCGGGCATTCCCCATCCCCCTACAATACGTTCCCGGCCTCCTCCCGAGAGTCTGATCCAACGTCTGCGTCAAAATCTGAAATCCAGCATCATGCGGAGGATCCACAGACTCGATCGGAGTCTCGGGAGGAAGTTGGGAGGCGGACTCTTGAAGAACCAACTGGCTCCTCTCCACCATCGTCGTCTGTTTAACATTACATAAAATATAAATTAAAAAATGCATATAAATTGAAAGTGTAACATAAGAATTAAAATACATAATACTTACATGAAGGGACTCGGCCAACTCATCCCCAGGTCGAACATAAACGTCACCAAAGACGTCGATCTCTGGGAATTTCGACCCCCCCTTAATTGAACAAGAGAAGAAAAATATTAGTATGAACAAAAGAAATTAATAATAATGACATATTAAAAATTAAATATAAATTATATTATTCTTACCCGACGCCGTGCATCCATCCTATATGAGAAGGGCCTGGAGCCGGAATGGTGAAGAAGAGTCTTCTTCTTCCTATTGCCCTTATTCACTTGGGCTTTATTCTGTTATACAAAAAATAAAACGTAAGAATTGAACTATAAATAAATTAAATAATAATGAGATATAAAAAATAAAATAAACATTAAACAAATATTATTAAAAAATACCACATAATCGGGCGCCTGAAAATGAGCGCAGAGCCACGCCCAACTATCCTCCCGGCCCTCAAGCTCCTTCGGGCAACCCTCCTGAAGAGCGACTTCCGGATCATCAAAGGCCTGGAAATGGTGGTGCAAGTCGCTCTTCCACTGCTTGTACCTCTCACCGAAGAGTCTGTTGACGTACGCCAAAGTCTCCTCGTTGAGGTCCTCTAAGTCGTAGTTCGTCTGCAATAAATTGATTACATACATTAAGTAATAGAAATATATAAAGTTTGAAAGAAAAATAATTAAAAGATAGGAAAAATACCGACAACTGGCCGCGAACTTGCATCTTGATCTCGTCAGGTATGACCTTCCAAGACTTCCATTGCATCGGGCAATGGGTCCGAACGACGTGGCCAATGTCGTGGGCCAAGGAGCTATGCAAGTCCGCCGTCGGTGCAGCCCGATGGCGCTCGTCATATCCGATGCTGATACGACTGTTGGTCACCCGGGTGACCTTCGCCGTCTTCAGCTGCCGACACGGCCCTCGGGTGTTCCTCTTGGCTGCAAAGGGATAGGACAATATTGTTACATATACAATCAAATTGAACCATCAAATTCCCAATTAAAAAAATGTTAAACAAAAAATGAAAGGGGAAGGGTATTACCTGTAGGTGCCCCCGAGGCACCAGTACAGTCAGTGGATGTGGTGTCGGTGGTGGTAGCGGGCCGGTGTCGCCGCCTAGCGCTAAGAGGCTGCACCACCGAAGAAGATGATGATGCAGCCGCCTGGGATCCCCCAGGACCAGCTAGCACGTGGTCCTGCTCCATCAGTGCTGGAGCAGTGGCAGCTGATACCGGCTGAGCCGGGGGCTCCGAACTCGGTGTAGCCGTCACCGCCCTACGACGTCTAATCAAGTCTGACATCTGCACAATTTCATTAATCCAATGTAGCACATACAATGTCAGTAAAAAATTGAACTAACTAATTAAAATCATAGTTTGACCTAGGGTTTGCGATTTCGGAGTATCCGGGACTCCGATCCACAATCCGTCGATTCCTAAACGATCCTATAAATACATGGTACCACATACGTGAGTTTCAGCTCGATCCAACGGTCCGAACATATCAAACCCTAAAATCGCACAATAGGTTCAAACCGTTCGAGACTCAAACGATAACCAAATTCCAATCCGAGCACACCTACGCGCTCGTGACAACGAAATGTTTGCACTGGGACAAAAAGCCCTATGCCACAGTACCCCACGCGCCACCACACGCGCCGGCAGCGCGTGGGTGCCCTAAGAGATAACGATCCCCGGGAAATCCTACAAATTAAGGGGCAAGGTTCCTACCCTAGGTTTAAAACATCAATTGGAGCCACTTTTGTTCTCGGACCTACCCCGGAAAACGGACGGAAGTGGCCGGAATTTGAATTTCAAAACCGGCCGAAACCTAGGGTTTCAAATTGACTACCCTATGCACACAATCAATCAAATCCTACACAACCATCAGCTAGAGCATGAAAAATAGGCCAAAAAGCATACCTCAATTGCCGGATTTGGTGCCCGGAGGAGAGAGAACAACGGCGGCGGAGATTCGGGCTAAACCGAGCAATTCACGGCGGCAGGATGGACGGCCACGGCGGAGAAGCTCCTGGGTTCGACGGTGGCGGCGGCAGGGTCTGATTTGGGGCGGATTAGGGGCTGAGGTCACGGCGGAGAGATTTGGGAGGTTTTAGGGTTAGGTTTCAGAATTTGGGGAAGAAGGAGAAGATCGCGATTTTCAGAAAACTTATTCGACTTTGCGCGACGAACATATATTTCCGTCGCGCAAACGTCATTAAAATAACCCTTGCGCGACGAAACAATTAAATTTTCGTCGCGCAATGTTATAAAATTGGACCTTTGCGCGACTAGAACAACAAATTTCGTCGCGCAAACGTGTGAACAGATATACCTTGCGCGACGAAAAAACTACTGTCGTCGCGCATACTTGTGCAGCCGCCCAAAATTTTGGGATTTGATTTTGCGCGGGAAAAAATCAATGCAATGCGATTGCGCGACGAATACCAATTTCGTCGCGCATGCTAGCTGTTCCAAATAAAGGTTGCGCGACGCACTCTCTGTGATTCGTCGCGCAAACTGGCTTTTGATAAAAAAATTTCACTAAGTGCTGGAGCGGAGAGGAGAGGGAAATTTTTTTATTGATTTTGCGCGACGAATGGACTAATATTCGTCGCGCAAACTGGCTTTTGATAAAAAAATTTCACTAAGTGCTGGAGCGGAGAGGAGAGGGAAATTTTTTTATTGATTTTGCGCGACGAACGGACTGGTATTCGTCGCATAAGGTTTGCGCGACGCGTAAGCTTCTATTCGTCGCGCAAAACCATACCCCAAACCCTAAAACCTGTACCCTAAGCCCTAAACCCGAACTCCTGAACTAGTTTCAATGATCCAACCGACAATCTTCTTTTTTCATAGTTCAAGATCGTATACGTCAAAAATCATAATGAATGAACATTCAGAGATTGAGTAACGGGACAAAACGTTTCGACGGTTGTAAACAAATTGTCCCGATTCAACGGTGATTTTAGCTCCGATCTTGAAAATTTTTTGCAGCTGCGGTTCTTGACCCTATATGAATACAGAGATTTAATTCGATCTTCAATTTCAGATATTTACAGTACAAGACATCACATAATCTTATATTAGACTGAAGGAATGTATAAAGAAATTATTCAGTTTTTATGAATATTGTGTTTTTATGGAATACGCATTCTAGGAAACTAGTTTCAGTAATCTAGCCGTCAAATATGTTTGTTTATACTTCGAGATCTTATACGTCAAAAATGAGAAAAAAAAACATTCAGAGCTCAAGTAACGGGACAAAACGTTTCGACGGTTATAAACGAAAAGTCATGATTCAACGGTTATTTTGACTCTGATTTTGATGATTTTTTAAAGCTATACTGTTTAACCCTATGTGAATACAGTGAACTACTTCGATCGTCAATTTCAACTATATACGTGTGTATAATTCAGAAATATATATATATGTGTATGTTTGCGCGACGGGGTTTCTTTTTCGTCGCGCTAAAGAGACTTGCGCGACGAAATTATTTGTCGCGCAAATGGTAGAGTATGCGCGACGTGTACATAATCCGTCGCGCAAAAATTGCGCGACAATTATGTCTTCGTCGCGCAAACCACATATTATTAATCTGAAGTATTCATCATTACATATAATTACTTGTATGAAAGTAAGATTTATTATATTTTCTTTCGATTTGAGAATGGAAGGATTGTTGATAATCTTATGTTCTTTGTATTCATTTTTTCGGTTATATGGTTTTCATTTTTTTTAAAATTTTTTGTGAAAATAA